ATTGAAAGCAACATATTAAAAACTGCTTTTCAACACCTCGAAAGCCTAGGAATTACAGCACATGCTCTCGAAAATAAAATCTGCACACTTATGCAAGCTTTTCTTCCGTGGTAATTGCATGTCTTACACAAGCAGAAAAAGAACCTGGCAATAATAATTCATTTCTTTCCACAGGCAGACGAGTAATTACTTCCAACAGTAATACGAAAAGGACAGAGCTTTGAGATGCTGTCTTTATCTGACTGCATACCCTGGATGACTTTAGGCTTAGCCGAGTCTGTCGCTATAGTAACACTCAACCTCTGTACGATAATTGTGTTTATAAGAAACCGTAATCTCCGCAAGCGTAGCATGTACCTGGTGATAAATTTGGCAGTTATAGATATGTTTGTTGCAGGAGTTGCTGTGTATGTTCTGTTCTATCGGTCTGGGGTAAACTGTAATCTCTGGAAGTGGCATTCATTTGAAGTTCGGACAGTTACAATGGTACTAGGCACGTTATTCGTCTTTGGTTCGTTAATAAATATCGCCATCATCGCTTTAGAACGGGTGCACGCGACATTCTTCCCCTTTAGGCATCGTGTGCTAAAAAAATGGGTATATCAATTAATAATTGCCGCTGTTTGGGTTTCATCTGGGTTGGTAACAATAGCTTATACGCTTCTCGCAGAGTTTGATGAAATCTATTACAGTGATTACTTCTATTGTACATTTCATTTAATTTGCCTTTTGATTATTTGTGTTTCTTACACGTCCATTGTTATTAAAGTCCGTTGTGGAGCGCAACCTCAACACTATGGTGCAACCAGTAGAGAAAGAAAACTGACCATGACATTGTTGATTGTGACTGTTGTATCTCTTTTGTTGTACGTGCCATATGTTGCCGCTTTAATTAGCAAACTTAAAATATTGCAGTCTGTGTCCTTTTCAGTGGTTTTTCATATAAATTGTGCATTGTTGGTTTTATTTTATGCAAACTCTNTTTGGCAGATTATAAAGTAACAAGACTACTTATTGTTTTTCCTGGTATGTCTTTATTAAACATAGCCATTATTGCTTTAGAACGGGCGTATGCGACATTTCGGCCTTTCAGGCATCGCCTGCTAAAAAAAAATGGGTGTATGGCCTATTTATTACCTTTGTTTGGGTTTTTATGGCATCTGTCACTTCGGGATATATTAGGTACTTCGGTGCATCTGAATATGGATTTCTTGATCTTTACTTAAAGATTGCAGCTGTCTTGTTTCTACTTTTGATCATTTGTGTTTCTTACTCATCCATTGTTATTAAAGTCCGTTGTGGAGCGCAGCCTCAACACCATGGTGCAACCAGTAGAGAAAGAAAACTGACCATGACATTGTTAATTGTGACTGTTGCATCTCTTGTGGTGAACCTGCCAGCTGCTATGTTTGCTTTTCTCCTTTATAGCGGTAAATTTAAAATGTCCTTTTCTGTTGCTATTAATACAAAAAGTGCAATTTGTGTTTTACTTTTTGCAAACTCTTTTATAAATCCTATATTATACGCTATCCGTATGCCAGAATACAGATCAGCTATAGCTGCAGTCTTTCGCAAAACCCCCCCACTCAGTAACCGTGAAAGGCGAGCTGTAGATTTACCTCTTCGTGACTTGTAATGCATTATGAAGCGCCATTACATTTTTCTACTTGGCTTTGTTATTTTGAAATATCATGATATCAACAACAGTTTAAAGTTAATGTGCATAAATTGTATATGAGGAAAAGAAATTATTATCTTCGTAAGAAAGTTTGACTTTAAATAGATGGATGAACATAGTATCCCGCAGGAAAGTTAACAAGACAACAGATGCTTTATTGTCTAAATCCCTAGTGTCATATTTAGTAGGTGATCATGATTTTTACCGTTTAGTAGCTATTTGTTTTGTAGTCATCAGAGCCGTAGCTAATAACAGGCGAGCCGCGGCACCTGCGCATGCCTCAGCCATGTTTTTCTTTTCTTTTTCCTTTTTGAAGGGGCAAAGTTAAACATTGCTAGCAAATAAACAAACAAACAAACAAACAAACAAATAACATTGCCTCGGTCATAACTTTTTTTCTGGCCAAGGCCCTGGTCATGTTATAATATCTTGAGCGCGATTATGTCCACTATCTCCTGCACTCAACAATTTCAATGATGCCAGGTTAATGTCGGAGCAAAACGTTTTTCCATGATTTGATTGAATGAATTACTGAGGCCGCTTGATGACAGAGCATCTTGTAATTAACCACCTTGTTAATTTGAGGAGTTCTTTATTGAGCAGGAACTGAATAAGAATTAAGTTTACAAAACGAGGAATTACGGGCTAGGAGTTATTAGAAACCTTCAACTTCGTCTCCAGCGCGCTTTTCCCTTCGAAGATGGGAAGGACTGGAAAGGAGATACGAGAAGAACAAAGAACTTTTCGACAAAGCTGGCAAACTCCATGTCACGCATAGATTACTTTACTCATGATAAATCACGAGAGACCAATGAAATAGCAGAATCTACTCACCGACTCCAGATCTAGAGCCTTTTCCCGTCCTTTCCATTTAAAGGGTCGTAAAGTGCCTCTGGTTAAATTATGTTATCATACATTCTTATGTACATTGTGAAAACTTGATAGATGTTTAAAAGCATACTTACATACTAAGTACTAAATTACATCTTTGATTATGTTTAATGCCGTAAATTATAAGATAAATAAAAGTATATACTCCTGTAAAAACTGTTTTTCTTTTTCATGGTGTGAAATTGTTATCTAACAACGCTAGCACACATTTTCTTTCTGCTGTGTTATTACCTACAGTGCTGTGCGCACTACTATAGGACGCTCATATGGGCCGTTGCCAATCATAGAGCAGGAAATTATCACGTGACGGGCTCTCGACCAATCAGAGAGCCGGATCTTGGGGGTGTGGTCATCTAACATGGCCGCCACCTTTTTTCAGCCAATCAAGAGCCGAATTACTACTGGTAGTAATAGTCTACTGCTACTAAAGCCAATCAGGAGCCGAATTACTACTACTACTACTACTACGCAAAGCATGACGGGACGATGACGTCATGAAAGGGGGATACCCCCTTCTGTGGGCTGACGTCATGGCAAGAGGCGATACCCCTCCCCCTCGCCGGGCTGACGTCACGAAAGGGGGATACTACCTCTTATGAGCTGACGTCATGAGGAGGGGGTTTTGGGTAGCCAATCACAGCATGCAGCATGAGGTTGAGGTATTTTTTTGATGAGAAGGGGGTGAGAGGATGACGTGATGAGGAGAAGGTATGCTCAGACGGAGGATGACGTCACGAGGACGGTGTTTTGGGAGGGTACATGACGACAGTTGTATGGTACGCATGGTAAAGTTCAGTTGTAAAACAAAAAAATTACTGTGGCGCTGGGGGTGAGAAAGCAGACATCTCTCGAAAAAGTCAAGGATCACACAGAAAGTTGAAAATAAAACTCTTTTTAATGTAAGAATTATGCTGATATTTCACAAAGTGTAACCGCATGTTCGCTGGGAACTAGAGTCGTTTCTAGTTTCTCAGATCCCTGGTCCCAGACCCCAAAACGCGTGATATTCTGTCCTATTTTTCTTTGTCTTTGTTCACGAAGTCTTTGCCTGATCCGTTAATTCCTTATTCTTGGCATAATAGCCTCTCCAATATTCGTTTAACCGTGCCGTGTTGCTTTCACAGTGCTTTCTTTGGTAATTGCTGACGTGTTCGTTGTTCTTTTGAACATAGGCTCTCTGGCTCCTGACGATCCGTTCCTTGTTGTTTTCATATCATCTTTTACGACGGGTTTTGAGAATCTCGGCGTTCTCTGTACGATATCTTTTTTGTCGAGTCAGGATTCGCTCCCTGTTCTCTACATAATATCGTTGATAGTAGGCACTCCTACAAACGGCCTTCTTGTCATTCTCTGTTGATTGATTGGAGCAATTCATCTTGTGTGGCGTCTTACCAAAAATGATTTAAACCATACAAAAAACTAGCAAGGAGAGGAGGCAATGACCTAAACCTGTCCCTCTGGTGCGGTTATTGTCAGAGACTATTCTCTCGTGCAGACAGTAGAATTCGTCACGAGAAACATAGTTGTCAAAGGAGAGGATGCGAAAAAGCACGAGAGGATGTCCCAAAGATCCCATTTCCTACTTGAAAGCAGAATGGGATCCCAAATGGAATAGAATTTGGATACACTGCTACTCTACTCACTATCTATAGATAGCCAATCAGAGAACGGCATTAGTAATAGAACGCCAGTAGATTCAAACTAATAGCTGAGATAAACCAAAATAAAATTCGAGGTGAAATAAAGGTTATTGTAAAGTATTGTATTGTATAAATGTGTATTAATGTATATTTATACTAAAACATGATAACTGCTGTTAAAAAGAAAGCATACTTAATGCCATAATAAATCTTTGATTATGTCTGTTGCTGTAAATAAGAAGATAACAAATACATGCTTGTTACAAACTGAATTTTTCTCTCTGTGGAATTGTTACCCAGCAACGTTGGTACAGTTTCTTTTTGTCGAGTTGACAAGTGCACCTTAGCCCTAGAGTCATCTTTTTAACGCCGATTACCAAACAGCAAAAACATCGTTTTACTCTGTACAAGTCCTCTTGAAAGTACAACTGAAAAAGCTTAAAAGCGAGCCTCTGAAGTGTTCAGTTAGCTTTTACTGTTTCGGCCTCACCGGAAGTCAACGGCAACACAATACAAATAACCACGAACCACGAACTGGCCTGTTCCGGTACCTGGCACAGGCGGGGGCCTGGGCATCAGTCTCTTTGGAAAAACAAAATGGCGGCACACTGAAAAGAATTTCACATTTCCACTTAAAATTTACCTCCAATGGCGAAGAACGTAAAAAAATCAAATGATCGTGAGTTATTTGATTCCTTTTTCCCTGGGCTTGTTGATGATGTCGTGAAGGAGAATGAAAACGACCTAGAAACGGGAGACGCTGTGCGTCACATGCGCGAGGTAGGAATCCACGAACGTACATGATTAAAATAATTTACGTTAGCTCAGTTGTTTTTGCACAGTCTGTCGTTAGCATGAAAATTACAAATACATGAACGACTTCATAGGATGACAGAACCCTCAGTGAAGATTTTGATCAAATTCCCAAGGGAAGGAAAACAATAATCAATCAAAAGTATCGGAAAAGCACCACCATGGGGCAAAATATCCATATATTTCTGCGTAAAACAGATGAAAGAACACTAGAAAAGTATGTTGTCGCTGCCTTTATTTAAGCTTAACGTAAAACTGAACTGACCTCCACCCTACCGCTAGCGGGATTTGTCTCTCGGTAGTCCCGAGTTCAAATCCTCGCTCACGCTTTGTAAGTAGCCAACTGGTCTGCCTCCTGCCAGTTGTTATTTTGAACTAAGTTTTATTTATTTGGAATATTTGTTTCCTTTGTTTTAGGGCATGCCTGTAAACTAGCTAAGCTTAGTGCTTTTATAGCTAAGTGCATGACCACTATAAATAAGATTTACATTTTTTTTTTATTGTATGGTCAGTCCAAATGTAAATTTTTTACATTAAAAGGTTGCTCTTGACTGATTAGATGGCAGTCTAACCTGCGACCAGGCATCTTGTTTTTGGAGAGGGGGGGGGCTGAACAGAATGCCTGATACATTTACTTCCTGAGTCGTCTGCCGCCCCTTCATTGCTTACCTGTCAAAAGTGACGTTATCTTATTGTCATGTGATGAAATTAATGTGAGCCAATCAGATTTGGATCATGTTTACTGTAGATAGTGTCGGCCAACACTAGCGATTGACATATCGACTGACACTCGGTTGATATGTCTGCCGAATATCAGCCGAGTATTGGCCAAGTATCAGTCGAGTATCACTGAATACATGGCCGATATATTGATTGACACTCGGTTGATACAGTACGTTGGTCGAGTAGCGACTGACATATACATCGACTGATACTCAGTTGATATGTCTGCCGAGTATTGGCCCAGTATCGGTCAAGTATCTGTCAAGTATTGGTTGATATACGACCAATATATCAACCGAGTGTCGGTCGATATGTCAGTCGAGTATTGCTGAGTAGTGACCTACATATTGATCCACATTCGACCGATATTCGACCGATACACAACCGACTGAGTGCCAATATATTGACTGATACTTGGCCGATACTCAGCCGACATATCGACAGAGTGTCAGTCGATATATCGGTCGCTAGTGTCTGCTGACACTACCTACAGTAAACATGATCCTCAGATTTTACCAGAAATTCATGTGGCTAGTTGGAAGTGTGAGAGCAACACAGTGCAATGTGCTTGTGAGCTTTCCAGGCAAGGGGAATAGTAAGTGGAGATGTTACTTAAGGTCATTAAGAAGCAAAGAATTTTATTGAAAAAAATCGGTGGAATATCAGAATTGTTTTTATCAGAATTGATCAAAAGAGTGAGAATAAACATTACAGCAGGTATTCATGGGGACTCCTCACAACTGCATCAACTGCACATGTTTTTGACTCTCACTGAGAGTCAATTGGCAAATGACGCTCTGGCCAAATCACGTCGATAGCACGTCTGAAACTCCTTTTAAGCAGATGGTCTTCTGGATGTGTTCCATTGAGAATAAAATCTTGAAGAGATGAAGTCATGGCCACTGAAGATCTTATAGTGTAGATTGTAATTTCGTATATCTATCTCCCTGGCTGCCGCTCTTTGTGTTTCAAATTAAACCGAAAGCTCAGATATCCAGTCACGTAAACAATCAGAAAGGCAGGCTTAAAAACTCTTTTGTTTTATGACCAAATCAGAAAAAAAAGTCCAAATTCTGGACTATGGGCAGACAACTCATTAAGTAATTGTATCAGGCATTCTTTTTTTCTCCTTCCCCCTGCTGTTAAAAAAGAATGCCTGATCACTGGTTAATGGCAGCCCATGTAAGTCAAGAAGCACTTTCTACTCTGTATAAAACCCTAGTATGCCCTATACTGGAATACGTGGCTCTGGTGTGGTTCCCCTACCTAGTAAAAGATATTCTGGCACTCGAAAAAGTCCAGAGGAGAGCATTGCGCCTTGCACTCGGTCAAAGATGCGGCAAAATGGAGTATGATGAGTGTTTGAAAAATTTGAACTGGCCCACCCTGGAGAAACAGAGGCACTTTATCTCCCTAGTTGAATATTATAAAACTATTTTCGGCTCAAACAATTGAAGTTTATTGAATTTTTCAAACATTCCTGAGATAACAGGACACGCGCTAATCACTCTCGTAAACTAGGCATGAAAAATGCACGGGTGAACTCTTATAAATACTCATTCTTTGTCCGCATAGTGAAAGAAGGGAATAAGTTACGGCATCATGTAGTTCAAGTAGATTCTTTTAAGCCTTTTAAGGCGAGACTGAAGTCTTATTTACATGTTTCAGTGTAATAAGTATTTACATGTAGTGACGCACTTTTAGTTTTATTTTTGTTTTGTTTTTTATTTATTTATTTATTTATTTATTCATTTATTTAATTGTTTAGGAAACGTTATAGGGTCCACCTCAAGTTTTCCTTGTCATGATTTTTTTTTTATTTATTATATTTATTTTAATTTGTTTTCATCATGAATAAACCAGTATTGTATTGTATTGTATTGTGTTGTAGTTTCGGGTAAATGACGATGAAAACAAATCAAAACCTGCCTTTCAGTTCTCCAAAGCACGAGCCATGAGAGACAGACTTTATAATCACATCTGAATTAATACACCAGGCTTCCCTTGGTCAAAGTCAAACTTCCAGACCCTGGGGCTACACCATAGGGAAAAGATTGTGAACATGAGGAAAACTGCCTCTACAACTTTATCGTGACTTTGAAAAGCCAAAGGCCAAAAAAAGTGTTTACATTTCATGTATGACCAAAAATACATGTGCACCCATTTTCATCAGTAACTTTGATTCTTTGAATGTACCCACATACTGTCGGGCCCTTTAACCAGAGGCCTAGGCTACATAAGGTCAATAAGGTTATGAAGTGCAGTGTGTAACTGGTACAAGTAGATGTTGGGGCAGACATTTTCAAGTGAAACTGACAGTGAAACCTTTTTCTGAAATTTCATTCTGTGCTTCTTTCAGGTATTAGAGTACAATGTACCTGGAGGTATGTATTGGTCACCATGACAACTACCACCACCAACAACAACAATGACAACAACAACAACATTAATTTATTGGTATTTCTATTTACAATTTTGAGGTATTACCTGAGAACAATAACAATGACATGGAAATAAGGGAGGGTGCTCTCCTTGAATGGAAAATTCCAGTTTGAATTGTCTGAGAAGGTTAAATTTTAGGTATCAAATGAATCAGAATTTTTCAAAATTTTAAGAAAAGAGGACAGATTTTGAAAATTATTTCTATTTATTTTCTTCACATAATTTTCAAAATTGTCAGTTGAATGGTTTGTATTTATGTAGTAAGTTACTCAACAATGTTCAGATTTTCTGGAAACTTTCCAAGGAAATTTCTGTACCATTTGCCACTCTGTTTTGAAAGTTCTGGAGTTTCCATTTGAATGGAAATTTTTGTAAGAAGTGTCACAAGATGTAAGCCATGTATCATTTACAGTGTACCACTTTTCCTTTCCTTGACTTTGTGAGACTTTGAGCTGGCTAAGTACGTTGATCAGTTACATTGAGATATGGGGGTATGCCATATACAAACTCACCCCCCCTCCCCCCGTTAAAAGAATAGAGAGCAAGTCAAAACATATTCTGAATCAGTAATTAACAAAATTAATCATATACCACCAGTTACATCTTTGCATGATCAAATATGATGCAAAAGCCATTATTTTTTTTATTGTTCCACTTGACGATGCAAAAGCTTACTATATTAATCAGTATCTGGGTCCAAGACATTGTGAAACTGGTTTTTAATCTTTCTTATCAAATAATTTGTCCTTCTTGAAGGAAAATAATTTTTCTTCAATCTTGTACATATCAATTATTGATCTTTATCTGCTGACAAATCATCTCAAGACTGATGAGAAATAAAGCACATGCTACCCTGGTTTGATGCTTTAATGGCTGTGTTACTTTCTGTTTAACACACTAGGAAAAAGAAATCGTGGTCTTTCTGTGATTGGATCATTGCGGCATCTTGTAAACCCCAATGAGTTAGCAGAAGATGATGTGAAAACTGCAGTTATACTCGGATGGTGTGTGGAATGGGTACGCTCTTGAAATAATTAGAAATTTAACATCACGAGTTCTCTTTTTGTTTTGTTGCTCAAAACAACATCTATAGGGATCCATTTTGTTGTTCCTTGTTTCAGTTGCAAGCATTCTTTTTGGTTGCTGATGACATCATGGATGAGTCTTTAACAAGACGAGGCAAGCCTTGCTGGTACAAAAAGGTAAATTGGACCCTTAAAATACCATGGCCTTTATTTCCCTTTTTCTGGGTGGAGTTTAATGGCTGAAAATATATGTTGGTTGGGGGAGTGGGCGGAGGAGGGAGGGAGGGAAGTGTTGATTTCTTTCAATGAATCGTAGACCTGTGGAAAGTGGCTTCCTGAGTTTTTTTCTGCAAATCATGTTTTAAACATGTTCATGAATAGGTACAGCTATACAGACTTACTTATTTTCACCTTGTGTCTGTGTAGGCAGGAGTGGGCAGTATTGCTATCAATGACTTCCTCCTTATAGAAGCCACTATCTACAAACTTCTTAAGAAACATATCCGTCATAAGCCATATTATGTTGATGTGCTGGATTTGTTTCATGAGGTGAGTGTGTATTACAGTGCAACTATATGTCTATGCTTGGTTCCTAATTGCTGTCATTTCCAAGCCAACCCCCGTCTTTACATTGGGTTAATTCTTTTGATGTTCAGTAAAGTGGGCTTATGATTTTAAAAACACTTACTGTAAAATTCTTTGTGTTTGACTAAACTGTCAAATGCCCCACCCCTGGCCTGGGCAGCCCTTTGTGAGCTTGGAAATGCCCCATGGTGGGGACTTACAATCTGTCAAATGCCCATCAAATGCCCGGGGGGGGGGGGGGGGGGGGGGGGATGGGCACTGCTGGAATTGACTGACGCATAACGATAAATTATATCAATTTATAATTCTTATTGACACAAGCATTTTACTTAAACATACACCGCTCATAAAATTCATATGAAACTCCATCCAAGACCCGAGTGGCATATTTTNGGGGGGGGGGGGGGGGGGGGGGGAATGAGTGGGCTTGGAATTGGCAGAGCCAAAGTTTTGAAGTTCATGAATCTTCTAATTATCTCAGATATACATACATCGACAGTGGTTTTTCCTTGTATGTTAAAAGTAATCTGTATCTGGTTTGGTTTTACATTACTGCACATAGTGATTGGGTTAAAAAACTTGCACCTGTCCATTAATTTTGCATTCAGTCAGGAATAAAAAGCAATCCAAACATGACCAACTCAGACAAGTTTCCCCATGCTTTTCCTGGCCTCGTGTAGAAATTGTTTTATTTGCCAAACTTTGTTTGGTTCACTGGACTATCTTTGTCCTGTGTTATCACAGCCAGAGTGATTACCTTGGTTTTGTATGACACTTGATAACTTGTAAACTGCCCCAATAAACATACCGAGTTTATTGCTATCAATGTTCCCTATGTTATAGCTAAAATAATGACAATTGCTGCATCTCTTCTGTAGTATTACATGTACATGTAAAGTAGTCGTTATTGTTGTATTTTTATGGTTCCTCTGATATAGGTTACCTATCTTACCGCTACTGGACAGACGTTAGACCTTATTACAAAGCCTGGCAACAATTTTGAGAACTTCACATCGGAGAGGTACACCCCTAGTGACAGATATTTCATATGCTACAAAGTTTACATTTTTTGAATCCCAATACTGCTGGTAGAAATGACTGTATGCCAGACATAACTTCATCAGTATCTTTTTACTATTAATAGTGATATATTGTGATGACTATGACTGCTTCACAAATTAAGTGGCATCCTTAAAGGACCAAGAATGTATGTAGGTTGAGGGATTTTGTTGGTGCACACATAGTCGCCATTTCTAGAGCTTAAACAATATAATAGTTATTTATTATCCTGTTAAGTGGAGTTACTTCNGGGGAAGGGGGGAAGGAATGCTACCCTGAACCCATTGTTAACTAAAATATATGATTTGCTATACCCTATTTCACTCCTAACATACTATAAAATCTGATTGCAGAAAATGAAATGTTAGACTTGACATGGAGGATTTGTTATTGTTTCAGATACAAAGCAATTGTGAAATTCAAGACTGCTTTTTAATCTTTTTACTTGCCAGTAGCCTTGGCAATGTACATGGTAAGAGTTTAAACTTCTTGCTGCCTGTCATGTAAATTGATAGTTCAATGATGCCTGTATTAACATGTTTATCACTCTTGGGAATTTTAAATGCTGATGAACATCCATTTCTACCGACAACTATGAGTATGTGGTCAATCAGACTGGTGGATTAAAAAAATAATTTATAACAATAATAATAATGTCATCAACTTTATAATATTGCCTCAGTCGATGGAGCAGCAAAACCTAAATTATAACCGTCTTGCAAATAAACATGCAATAGTCAGCAAGAGGAATTAGTATGTTAAGAGGCGAACAAAAAGGGGCCAAATGTGCATGCACCACTGAACCCAAATTACTGATTCTTTATACTGTTAGCATTGATAATAACCCTAATAACAACTGTTTACCTGTTTGTTTGGTGTGGTTTTTTTTTCCTAGGCTGGTATAAAGGACACTCAATCTCATGAGAATGCTAAGGAAATTTTATTAACAATGGGCGAATTTTTTCAGATTCAGGTAAAGCTATTTTGTGGCAATCAAAACCTTTTTTGATAACATAGTTAGCAAAACTGCGCTATTAAACTCAGTGTACATAAACGTGCACTCATGGTGCGAGCAAAGTTAACTTAATTACTTTACCATTTTTACTTTGCAATGTTATAAAACGATTGATTCATGATTTTAGTTGTACATGTACAGATGCTTAATAGATGCTCGAGACCCAGCCAAGAGCAGCTCTAGCTTCTTGAGTGCTCTCCAAACTTGGCAAGTGCATCATGACTCAATGATGTACGCTAAAGCATGAATCAGTTGTCAATTATATGTATGTATGGATATTTAGGCAATCAATGTTTCCAAATTATTTTACCAAGTCCTATAAAATAAACTATAGTATATGTACATCCTAATACTTTCTAATTTCTCAGATACGTGGATATCAGGAAGATAGAACTCTTTGAACGGCAATCTATGTGATAATCTAGTCTAAATGTTGTTTTATTTTTATTTTTTTTTGGTGGTCACAGGATGACTACCTGGATTGCTATGGGGACCCTGCAGTCACGGGAAAGGTGGGAACTGATATTGAGGAAAATAAATGTTCATGGCTCATTGTTCAAGCTCTGCAAAAGATATCCACAGAGCAGATGCAAATATTAAAGGTATGACTTGTACTTACCGCAGATGCTGTGATGTGATGCGGGCTAAACTAGATATATTACTATTTATACCATGCCACAGAAAACACAGCCAATCAGAAAACAGGAAAGCCGTTGTATATTCGACGGTATTACACCCAACCTTCCCATCGTGCTCCGCACGTATGTCGCATCGATCATGTTGGTCACTGTATTTTCTATGGCGTGCAGTAAAATAGTTATTCAACGCTCTGCCGCGGTATTCCTGTAGAATATCCCACTTGCTACTTGTATTTTCATAATAAACACACTCGCCTAAGCGTTCGTGTTTTGAGGTAAACTAATGTCAAATTTCACAGCAAGTTACCAATGAAAAACACTTTTGAACAACAAAATTTAAACCACGTCAACTCGTGCCGTACTATTACGACCAGTTCCTAAAAAAATTACTCGACTTTAGGTTAACATTTAAGTTAAAGACAAACGTAACGTAGACTTTTCTAAGCCGGCTGATTTGTTATTTATTGTTCAGTTGGAAAAAAAAAGTGTAAGCAATCAAACGAAACTGCGGAAAGCGCGTTCCTTGTCAAGAATCGGCGCATGCGCAAGTTATAACGTTACTCTTTCGATTCTGCGGTAGTAGATGAAAGTGAAGCATGATCATCGCAGTAAATTTTCCAATTTAAGCAATTGGAAAGAAGAAGCCTGAAAAAATCAGGACCTCAACGGGATTCGAACCCGTGACCTCCGCGATACCGGTGCGATGCTCTACCAACTGAGCTATGAAGCCACACATTGGGAGCAAGGTCAATTTATTGAGTTCATATCTTCCCGTGGGGAGTGAAATGATGTGAAGTTCATATGAAATAATTTATATATGAACTGCGGTTGTAGATGAAAGTGAAGAATGATCATCGCAGTAAATTTTCCAATTTAAGCAATTGGAAAGAAGAAGCCTGAAAAAAA